ATTGCACTTCTTTATTGCAATTATGAAGAAGATCTTCTGCATTCAATATCTCATGGCATACCAATTAACAATTATCTAGTTAACTTGGAGGAATCAGTTTTGAACCAAAATCATCAAGGAAATTGAATTACACATTGATAACAGGTTCAATTTTCTCCAGTGGCACCAGTAGGTTGCTCAAACATTGATCAAAGAACACACTCAAAGGTTTCAATTTCATGTATGGCTAACTCTGCACATCTTTGTTAATCTTGGTGACTAGAAATGGGATTTGGTCTTCAATTGTTATCTCTTCTTTGTTTATTCTTCATTCTTAACCATGCAAGTTCCTTTGATACTCTAGATGTACTATGCAGTCTAGATTATACTTGTGGACTAATCGAATGCCTTAACCACTGTCTCTTCATCTATTGCATATCCAAAAAATTTGTTTCAATATGAAATTCTTCATGACCAAACTCCACCTTTGCTTCCACTTCAAATTCCAAATCTCCAAATTCAGAATCTCTCGCCATGCTCAACTCTTCTCATATTGCAGCACTTTCTGGTTCTTCTTGATTTATTTCTTCAACAGCACCCATCTCTTCTTGTTTGATTTTATTTTTGTTTACTTCGCCACCTCCTTGACTTCTACAAATTTGCAACAAATTAGAATTATCAAAGGCCAGAAATTTTCATCCAGATTTTGAAACACAGCAGAATTCTGCTTTTATTCATAGTTGTACTCCTTGCTCATATTAGTATCACTCCAACATGCAGTAGCACTGCTGTAATTTCTCATATAAGGACTGGTTTGTTAAACAAACTTTGTTTGGATACCATTTGAAGCAGCAGAGAACCCCATATCTTATAGAAATGAAGATCCAAAACTCGCTATGGAGAGCATTCTTCATAATTGCATGCATGTCTAATGTAAGAATCACATTCCAAATGGCAGGTTCAAATTGGAAGCCTAACTTGAAAGATAACTCTATTTACCCCTTATAATATAGCAAGTAAAAGGCACAATTATTCAAAAACATGAATAAAAATAAAAATTCTACTAGACTTCACAAGCTATACTCAAACATGACATAAATGCAAACCTAGCAGGTGTCAGTTACTGAAGAAAACTTGATCCAGTTTTGAACTAAACAGCCAAACGTGACAAGTCATTGATATTGTATAGAGAACATTTTTCAGTGCAACTGAGTATGCATTCATGATCTATCTTCCAGAATCCCTTTTGTGAAGAAAGGTGTCAAGAAGCAGGAATGGAAAAACAACAGTGGTTAGAAAAGCTACCATACCGGGAGTACCAAATTCACCACCTACAGCAGCATACCTACTGCAAGCCTGCAGTAAGAATGATATTGTTTAATTTCTACTCCACAAAGACAACAAGCTAACAGAGGAAATATTTCTGACTAAAAATTAAGTGCTATATTCAGGTGATCAAAGATGTTATGTAACAGGCATTTGGCTTTCATCCATATATCAAACAGAATATCATAAAATGAAGCTAGAAAACAATGACTTAACAATGCATCATTTGGAACACAACGCATTAATGTTTTCCATGGTCACATGAAGGCAACAACAAGATACTGCTAAACATAGGAAAATATAGTTAAATTTTGCTAATCTTAGACTTATTTTGTACAAATTTTGATTTGGTGAGTCCGGAAAAACAACGATGCACAATGAATTTCTACTGTAAGAAACATGTCCTAGCTCCCAATTAGCATAATTAAAAATTACAACAGTTAATTATCCCACTTGACAATAATCACTCTGTTCTCATATGAAATTTTGACTATATTAAATCTCTGGCATTATTGTTATCAGATCACAAATTATCTAACAAAATGTTTGACAACATATTAGATAAATTTTATTATAGCAACATTGTAAAATATTTACACTGAGTCTTGGCCATTTAATCAAAAAAACCTATCCCATCAACAAGCAGAATGCAACGTTGAGGTAAGAGTCTAAGGTCTCCTTAACTGATTTTCAGCTCATACACATGCAGAGTAGAAACAGACAGAACAGACAACAATTTGAAAATATAAAGGGAGAAATCTTAGTATCTTACATAAAAGTGTTTGAATAATGGTTGGACATGGTGGTGGTTAGTAAGGCATTAGAGAAAGAAGTAGAAAGATGCAAACCAAGAAAAAAACAACTTAAGGACCTGAAAGCCACATTCAGTCATACAAAAATCAAATAAGACTTTTTCCACAGCATGTGGAGACTACATTATACTAGCATGATTAAGTGAGAAGAATAAAACAGTTTTTGTGGTTCAACTGGCAGGGCTAAGCTTCTGTTCCATCTTAGACCGACTACCATCACAAGTAAACTCAACTCCTGTATTATATCAAACAAGATTATTATACTGCTGGATGAAAAAATATAGCAAGTAGATAAAAAAAAAAGAACAAAAAAGGCCAACTAGCACAAAGGCAACTCAAATTCAAACATAATTAAGATTCAGACTGACTGAACCATGTGTCCTGGTCAAAATATAGGTAATTTAACCCTTTGAACAGATTCAGACTGCATTAATTAATTTCCATTACTATGTTGTGGGTTGCCTAAAGATTTGTGGCCCATTGGAGCATTGGGATAGTGTTAGGCCAAGTAAAGGATAATATAAAGGAACAATTAGGCAAGGATGGGAATGAAATTGATAAAGGACCAAAAATAAAGGTAGAAGAGATACTGGTGTGAGCAATATTCTCTTTACTGTAGAACTCATCGATTAAATTGAATACCATTTAATGCTTCAGTCTGGTTGGCCTTTAAGTGTGTCCTTAGTTTTTTGCTACCACATATATAAGTAGCAGCATTAATGCAACACAACCTGTCATCAACAGGCTATCTGAGGCCCTTTAATAAGATCTAATTCATATCATAAAATGAGTCAATTTAGGTTTAGGTTGAGTTCTACTGAGTCTAGGATAAAGTTGTTTTGTTTCTGTTCCTTAAATAGCGATATTTTCCTAATTTTCCTATTGTAACTAACACTCCTGATTTAATGTGCTTTGAACCAACTGTAGATTAGGAAGGACTTTGTAAGAGTTGTAAGCAATCTCAGATTGTATGACAATAAAACTATATGTTGCAGTGTTATCAACAGCACTGGCACGAGGCTCTAAAAGGTACCAAGGTTCCATGATATCCTAGGCGCTAGGTGCTCACTTGAGCGAAACTAGACAGTAGACACTTACCAAAATAAAAATAAAAAATATAATCTAAAATTGATTACCAAAATATAATCAATTTTAGAAGAGATCTTAAAATCTTATTAACAAGTTTAAAATTCAAGAAACTTTTACCAAGTCCTTTTAAACCATTGACGACATCTGTAAATCGGGTGTACATGTCTCCAATGGTTTTACTCGGTTTTATTCGAAACAACTCATAAGAATGTACTAAAAGATTAATTTTTGACTCCTTCACTCTACTAGTGCCTTCATGAGTCACTTCGAGTGTATGCCAAATGTCAAAAGTTATTTTATAAATCGATACTCGATTAAACTAATTTTTATCTAATGCACAAAACAAGGCATTGTTGCAAGTAACACATTTGCAAACAATAGTATCATATTGGCCTTCTCTACTGAGTACTTTCATTCACTAGGCTATCCGAGGCCCTTTAATAAGATCTAATTCATATCATAAAATGAGTCAATTTAGGTTTAGGTTGAGTTCTACTGAGTCTAGGATAAAGTTGTTTCATTTTTGTTCCTTAAATAGCGATATTTTCCTAATTTTCCTATTGTAACTTACACTCCTGATTTAATGTGCTTTGAACCAACAATAGATTAGGAAGGACTTTGTAAGAGTTGTAAGCAATCTCAGATTGTATGACAATAAAACTATATGTTGCAGTGTTATCAACAGCACTGGCGCTAGGCTCTAAAAGGTACCAAGGTTCCAAGATATCCTAGGTGTTAGGTGCTCACTTGAGCGAAACTAGACAGTAGACACTTACCAAAATAAAAATAAAAAAAATATAATCAATGAATTGTTGCAAGTAACACATTTGCAAACAATAGTATCATATTGGCCTTCTCTACTGAGTACTTTCATTCACTAGTCAATCCATCACCTTCTATAACTATGAAATTTTGCATTAATTCTTGCCTAATTTCAGATATTTGGTTTTGCCATAATAAATCTGGAATTCAGGATTATCTCTAATGAATGAACCAAATGGTCAATGAACAACCCTGGTGGCTTATATGTAGAAAACGATGTGTTTTCAAAATGGATAAACGAATACATTGAGCACTGAGCAGAGATGAGAATGAGAATTCAAGCAATGAGAGAAAAAAGGAAAAAGGAATAAGCTTAAAAGTAAGTACCCAAATTCAAATCCTTTTAAAGAATAGTCATCTCTCATTTTAACTAATATTATGAGAAGGAAAAGAGCAGCAATAGTGTTGTCCCCAATGAATTCATGAGATAATAAACCAAATATACTAGAACAAAAAAAGTTCAAACTTTGACTCTCGTCTTGGTGGTGAAAGTGCATGTGAATATGCTGCCAACAGAAACAAAGAACAGAGGAAAAAAATGGTAGAAAGTGGAGATGCAGAGGGAGCTAGAGAGCCAAATACTCTCTACGATGTCTCTATAACAGGCGGAGGAGATGGATGTTAGCCTTGGGCCAGGGAAGTTGGGTCACAACCATAGGACAAGAGGCAGGAAGCTCCGGAGGAGTGTAGGCCGGGTTGTAGCCGTCAGGATGTAGTTGAGCCGCAACCATTGGAAGAAGCAGAATGCCACATGCAGAGGGGTCAAAGTAGGGTTTTAGTGACAAACAAAGTCGCTTTGTGTCCATGCACGCAGGACGGGGGGCAGGGGGAATATGCAATAAATGTGTTATTGCCTACTCAATTGAATAGAACCACTTTGTTTTATTCAGTTCAATCTCAAGTACGACTTGGTCCAATCAAATCAGCTAATGCATTTGGTGCAAGTTTGGGTTAGCCCAAGATGCAGCATTGCTTAGGCTGGGCAAGACAAGCGCGTGCTACCCAATGCCCAAGCTTAGGCATCCACCTAGGCGGAGCCATTCAAAGTTCACTTGCCCAGATCTGTTCGAGGTGCTTGGGCCTTGCCTCGCCAAGTCCAGGCCCCCTAATGACTTCACTGATATATTGAACAAAAAGAGGACTAATTTTGATCAATGCTTTACATCTTTTTTTCAAGTCACAGTTAGAATAGGACCATAGGGAAATTGATGTGATATATAAAACATATTCAACCCTCTTTATATATATACACACACACACACACACATACTCTTATCACTCTCTTTTCTCTTCATTATTTCTATCTGATCAAAAGAATACAGCAGAGACTCTTTCCCCTTCTATCACATAAGTACTAGTTGCTTTGTACTTGTTTATTGAACATCAATCACAACAGACACTATCTACTATGACCTAATCATTCCTAAATTGAAGAAGCCTTGATGTGCAAACGGGTACTGAATTTCTGATGCAACATTAAGCATCCTCTCAATACTTGTTAAGGCTGATCAAACCCAAAACTGACACAGAAGACTTGTATGGCAGCATGGCCTTTGTTAGCAAGAAAGGACCAACTAAAAGATAGCAATTAGGATATATACAATAAATCCATGAGGAATAGGAGGATAGTTTCAGAAATTATCAGGTAGAAGCGGGAAGAAACACAATAGAAGAACAAAATACCTGAATAACCTACCAAGTGAAAGACCTTTAATTGCAAGAGGTTTCATACGGTACATGATCCTGATAAGAACAACAGAAGAACTGCAGCTCCTATATCATTTCCTTTCCACACAACTCCCTTTCAGCATTTAGAAATCCTTTAGTGACTCTCAAGTTGAAGATAAGGCTCAGCAACAGTTATGGCGGTTCATTGAGCTTCTTTAATCTCATTGTAATATGCTAAATAACTCCAAAGTCAATTAAACTTGATCCATGGATCTAAATCCAATCAAAGGAGTTCCCTTCAGAAAAGAATAATTTTACCTGCTAATATTGAACTCAACCTACTCCACCGACTGAGTAGATCCCAGACCTTTCATCAGGATCAAGCTTCATAAAGAGGCTCCATTTTACGAGGAACTTACCAAAGTTTCTACAACACAACCATTGCCTCAAAACTTAAAAGTTTAAACATACAAAGTTGTGGTATCCACAACAACCATTGTTGAACATACTGTTGTGCCAGTACTTTTGTGACCTGTACCACATCAATCATCTCTAATTCATAAGACATTTTTTATTATTTATTTGTTTTGCTTTCTTCCAAATAAAGATAATCATCATCACAACAAAATGAAACTTAAAAGAATCATAAGAATTTTCTGAACAGGGGGAATGCATGTGGTGCAACAACAGTGAACAAACTAAAAGTTACATGTTAGGTGCTTTTACCTCTATATTGTATATTCCCACTTTAACATCAAAGGAAGATGCTGATATGACTCCTGGAATTTTGGGGTACCAATGAACATCAAAGTTCCAGTTGGTGCTGGCTGGCAATTCACATACTACCTGAAAAACAACAAAAGGAAGTAAAGAAATAAACAGTAGCTAATATTAGAAATTGATAAACAGTAACTCTATTGAGCATGGGTCTATCACATAAATTATTGAGAAATTAATTGCTTGTGTACCTCCCCAGAAATTGTATCCCAGCAAATTGTTCTATTATCTTTGGCACAGGTAAGCAAAAATGAACTGTCGTAGGGGCACCATGACATAGCAATTACACCTGATTAACACAAAAAAAACTCAATGAAAGAGAAAACAAGATTGATATTCATCTAAATTCCTGTAAATGTCAGGTAAGAAATAGAAACATAGTGCAAAAGAACTTGTTAAGGACTTGAATCGCCAAAGGAAAGCATAATACAACCACAATAAAAGAAAGGCACACACATCGACATGTTTGTGTGTATAAGGTTCACATTTTAAATTATGGTTACAAAGTGCTATAGGCCTATGGAATGCATCATAAAGAAAAACAAGAAGCATCAAAGATATCTAAATGATTGAAGGATCATTAGACATTCTCCAATATGTAAAATACACCATTTTATGTATCTATAGGAAATATACGATAGACTAACAAATAGTTCAATTTTAATAATAAATGCTACCCAAAAAGATGACTGCCCAACCTCCATGTTTGTGTTCAACATTTCAGCACTGGGTCAGATCAGGCCATATAGATTAAACAAACGTAGAAAACTTCTTAGGATATGGCTATAGATATAGCAAACTTCATATTCATCTTAAAAGGTGTCATCATGAAATTTGAGCCTTTTACTCCTATTTTATTCCATTGTCGTTCCAGTGCCATCAACTGTTATAGAAAACTTGATTTTAATCCTAAAATACATCTAGCTGTCCTCAATGCCTTAATCCCTTTTACTCTAATTTCACTCCATTGTCTTTCCAATGACATCAAATATCATTACTACAGGGATATACTATGGGCAGTAAATTGGATTAATTATTGATCCCTGTTTTTTTGTTCTCAATCTAATTTTGCTTAAGCATAGGATTTGGGGGCTCTATCTTCCCTTTGACTTGATTGGCTCTCTACTTTTAGGTTACCATTGCACCATACACAATAGAAATTCAAAACCATGTTGTACAAAAAATTCTTCACCTGTGATCAATGCAAAGGCTACTGTTCAACTCTCAAATTAGATGAACCTGATAAATGATGTCATAAAGAACATTTCAAAAACCTAGTAAAACACAAGCATAATTATATGCTCCACATAATAACCATTTACAGTAATCCTAAGATTAACCAACAATTCATTCTTCACATAACCCTAATTACTCAATATAACTCAAAAATCTCTTCAATCTGGGAAAATCAATATCCAATCAATATATCTACCTCTAAAAAATTATGAAGCATACCCTCATTTACTGTGAATCAAAAGGCTTTTGATCACATTAGTTTCTCAGAAGAATTGTTGAATCAGTAATGTGTTTCTAGGAACCAATTTCCTACCAAACATTATAGACTGATCCAGCGATTTAAAAAGGCGCTCGCCTAGGCGCTCGGGCGAGGCGAGGCAAGGCCCGAGTGCCTCGCTAATCTTCCAAACGACGCGCTTCAAAGAGGCTCTCGCCCGAGCTCAGGCGCTGGGCGCTTCGGGCGAGCGCCTGGGTTAACCAAGGCGACCGAACCAGGATTTTAGGTCTGGTTCGGTCCTGGTTCGGTCTCCGGTGGTTAGTTGGTTCAATCGAACCAACTAAAACCGATATCAGTGATAACCCAACCCTAACCCTCGTTGTCGTTGCCGCTCCCGATCCCAATCCTGATCTTGCAAATGCTGCCGCTCGCGCCTCCCGCTGCTCGCCGCTCCTGCTCCCGCTCCCGGTGCTCGTCGCTGTTGCTGCCTCCTTACACTCCATTGCCGCTACCGCTTCCTCTTTTCTCAATCAGTAGGCTCAGCACCCCCTTACACTTCCTTCTTCTCCTTCTGTTAACAATATACAGTATACTGTTAACAGTATACTGTATACTGTTAATATTATTAGGATTATTTGAAATTATTAATTTTCAATACTGTTAATAGATTTTCTTAATTTAATAACATATTTTAATTTAAAAATTTAAATAATTATATTTATTAATTATATTATATATTTTTATATTTTAGCGTCTCGCTTCGCTCGGGTGAGCGCCTAGTGCCTCGGGCGTTTTTGGACCTTGGCGCCTTTTGGAACCTAGCGCTTTTTAAATCACTGGACTGATCTACATAAATTTTTAGGTTATCATGTATTGCATACAAGTCATGCACTAGTTAATGCTCTCTAATATTTCACTATAATGAAATTAAATTGTGGGATAGAGATATTAATAATGGCCTCTAATTAAATATAATTAATTTTAGTTAAAAGGAAAAACTGAAAGTTGCTAATATATAGCTCAGTAGTAACCTATAAAAGTACTTTAAGAGGATTCATCTGTATTGATCACACAAGTTGGTGGTTACAAATGGGTGACAGAACACTGTTAGTTTCATGAATTTATTAAAAGAAAAATCATGTCATAAAATAAGCAAAAGAAAACAGATGGCAGGCTCAATAACAAAGGTTGGTAATACGACCTTTTGTATGCCCCACAAACTCTCTTACCGGCGATATTGTTTTCCTTACATCCCAAACCTGTGAATGGAGATGACAAAAGTTAATGGTGCCAAAATACAAGCAGGCTAGGCAATACCCTATGGATTTCTAATGCACTTTAAAAAGAAATAATAATAAACAATCGGACATAAAATCTTTCTGTATGTTTCAATTAATTACATATAAGACAATAGTTTTCATCTAAACAAAAAACTAAGCTGGACTGAACAAATATGTAAAAGAGATTAAATCATAAAAACATGGCACATTACTCTAAGAGCAGGTGAATTGTCATCATCCGAAGCAATAATCAACTGGGTAGAAACATCAGGGTTCCATTGCAAGATAGAACACCTCCTTCTATTCGAATCTGCGAAACTGTTTGAAAATAGAAGCCATTCCTGGATCAGATTAGCATCAGACGATGCTGCACAATGTTTGGTAGAGTTCCAAGGATAATTATGAACAAAAGACTTGCCTTGTAACAGGTTTCTGCTGCCGTAGATCCCAAACAACTGGAATGGTACTCAGATGATAAGAAATTCTGAGCAACATGATACCTTTATATGAGGTAAAAGTGAATAAGATTAAAGAAAAGAAAATTTAAGCACCTGTTATCCCATTGTAAGAAGTGGATGATAATATATGTTGAAACTTCGGGTTCCATGAAACAAAGGAAACTTCAGTTTGTGCTCCAGAACCAGCACTCTGTTACATAAAATACAACTTCAAACTCTCCACAAAATGTTGGTCTTTTTATTAATCTAAGTCAGATTAAAATAGAATTCTTTAGGATTGTAAACAATCACCTATGTCATCAGCGCTACACAAGAATTGATTAAATATTAGTCTATTTCTTACTTCAAAGAACCAGAGAGAAACCAACATGACAAAAAAGTAACACGAATTCATCAACAAAAATTGCTGAGACACAAAACCAGTGTTCAATTGGCAAAGGGACAAAAAAATATGGAAATGTAAGCGACTTATATTTTAATAATAGCCTCTCGAGATTAAGAAAATTTTAGTAATAGCCTCTCAAGATTAAGAAAAAAACTCCATTGCCAATCCTCCATCCCAACTTTAATATAAATCCTCACATTCTGTGCGTCGAGCATGATCTACAACAGCATGTAAGATCAAGTTATTACAACAAAAATTAAAGATCAGTAAAAAGGGAGAAAAGAATTGTGATGTAACTTGAATACACTGTAAACATGAATTATAGCTTTCAGTTACATGCTTGGAATAAGATCATCCTTCTAGCCAACTAGTTTTTAGCATAAACAAATAATGCTTTTACTTTGTGCATCAGAAAAAGAACATCTTGGAAAAACAATGGTGGTCAACAATGTGTAGTTCTCAATCATTCGCCACGCACATGAAGGTTTGATCTTGTCTATCCAACAGCAATCCATTTCTATTTAATTTACTAAATCACCATTGTTGTCAAAAGTGCTTGGTGGTGTACACTGTACACATCAACGTCCATTATTGCTTAAGAAACAAGGCACTTGGTTGAGCAAAGCAAGACACTTATCTTACAAAAGCAAGGACTAAAGCTAACTATAGAGAAAGGAAAGAAGAGGAGGGAGGGAAGAAAAGATAGAAGAGTGGGCAATAGGGGTGGTTGTTGGCCATGGAGAGAGGAGATAGAAGAAGAGGGGAGAAAGAAGAGAATAGAGGGTGGCAAGCAGCGAGCACTGCCAGAGAGGCATCCCAGTTAAAGATGCTTTGTCCAAGGCCCATTGAGTCACTTAGGCCTCGCCTAGGGGAGGCCTCTTGGCATCGTTTATGACCACAATAAAGAAGCCTACTTAGATCAGTGTCTCTTCATTCTACCCATTTCATGTAATTTGTTTGATTATTGACACGGGAGTGTCTAATTTGCTACAATTTGCTCATATGGACCTTGCTGATGATATAGTATTTTTTTCAGTCAACAATGTTGCCTCGTAATCTTCAACTCAGCCCACTCAAATATGATAGCTCATCAGCATATTCCCTGCATAAAGTTAAAGCTGTTTCAAGGTGCTTTTCTTCATGACCAAGGAATACATTAAAGGAGTTGGTTAGCAGCTATAAAACACTTAATTTCGAAATTCCCTATGCATTAATGGTTGTTTCATGCACTAGTACTTATTTTGGTGTTTAGGGCTTAGAAACAACTTTAGAAACTGATGATATTGGCAGAAGCTCTCTTGGAGTACTCTCTTAAACTCTGTATCTCTTGGATACATTCTTGAATGGTGAGTCTTTTGCTTTCAGTTCTATATCCTTGTTTATTATCCTTAGGGTGGTGATCTTTTTGTATCCCTTTATGATTTTAAACTTGATGGTGAGCTATTTTTCGTTTTTATCAAAGTTGCTTCGTGAATTCGCTCTTTTTTTTGTCACTCATTCTAGCAAATACAATTGTATTGTCGACGTTTCTTCGTGTGTTCGTTCCTTTTCTATACGGAAAACTCATTCTAGCAAATACGATTGTACTATTGACTTTTCTTGTGAGTTTGTTCGTTTTCTATCCGAAAAAACTGTGCCATCAATTTTATTTCGAAATCTATTCTACTTTACCCCTCATTCTGCATCACCGGTATCAATTTTCATAGACAAACACATTCGAAATATCTCATTTTTGTTCATCTCAGTTTAAAAAAATGTCAGAAAGCTTAAATATGGCGTAGATATTAAGTACTAAACATGTGGGATGTCTAATTATGTAATTTCAAGTCCATATTAGAGATAGATATTAAGTAGCAACATAAGAAAGACATGATGATAGTGATCATGAAGAATGTGAAATTAATAAAAAAATGTGATCATTGATTTTTTTTTCTCCTACTGAGTGCAAGTAATTTACTCAACTTAATGGTCAATTACATTTTAGAATAAAAAATAAGATGACAAATATATCCAAGAAATTTTTGCTAGAAAAAAATGCAGTAAGTCTCAAACCAAGTTTGACTGCATGAATATAAATGAGTAGGCATAAAATCTATTGATCAGTTGTTGGATGGATGCCTATTCCATGAAACAAAGGAATGACCGGGGTATTGCCTTTTTTTTCCTTAAAGTTTGATGCTTTAAAAATTAGTGAAGTGATTCCTATTTTTTTGGTACAAAACTATAACTACCACAAAACTGCAATTGCATATTGAAGACACTGCACTGTAAATGATGTATTTGAAAATATTTCTATCATGTGAAAACGAAGAATTAACTATCAGATCAATCATATCTGCATGTGCATCATCACCAGAATTTTCAAGAATTCCCATTCAGATAATTCTCTTCCTTCTATATCAGAAGTGAGATGCAATAATGCAAAATTATGGATTATTGAATCTTCCTTACTGCATGACACGTCAGAAGACAGTACAATTACATTACTATAATTACATTACTATAGACCTGATTATTCCCACAAATGATAAAGATAACAAGATTTTTTACAGAGTCCATGTCGGACTAGCATATTGACATTTGCATTATCTATCTAATAGTACATAACTTCAATGCATGTATCATGGCCCTTTTTATTATATGATTCACCTAAATAACTGAGGAACTGAAAGATTGCTTAGCATATGTACAAGCATTTTATCTCTACTAAGGGCAACAGCCCGAGATACAAATCAAAGCATAATTAAAGAGCCTTTAAAATGTATAAATCTGAAAAATACGAAAACGTTATATTACAATACAGATATATGTCTTTCAGTTATTAGATTGTGCTTAGTAAGCACCATCAGTTCTTGCTGAAAGTTAATCTATTCAGATGCCTCTATACCTTAAGAGATGGAAAATGATTTGGTTCTGAAGGCTTTGCCAGATCCCAGATGCAAAGCTCCCCTTCATCAGCCCCAGAAGCAAGTAGATTCGATGAGAGCACGCTGAACTCCAAACCACGAACCTGATAAAAGAAAACACCAGTCAGCCAAATGCATCAACATGGAACGATAGAACTAGATCCTCAACTTGAAGAATCCAAATAGATACGGAATGATAATTACCGGTCCCACGTGCTTCTCAAGCTTCGCAACAAGCGCAGTATTTTGATCATCCGAACTGCAAACAAGATACAGATTTCTCATAACTACTACTCCTAAAGCCGTGAAATTTTTTGCTCTACTGCGATCGATCTACTCATGCATAAGCAAGAGGACGAAATTGCATATCCAATATCAATAATTAAGACCTTCACAAAGATCCGGCTTTCGAGAAATTGAATAGAACAAAAGAGGAATGTAAACTCAAGGCACCTGATCATCTTGAGGGGATTCCAGATACCGATGCTGCCATCACTGAGGCCTCCGGCGACGAGGCCGAGGGCGTACTCCTCGGAGGCGGATCCCGGCGGGTTCCCCCAAGAGAGGCGGTTGAAGCGCTCGGCACTGGGGCAGGAGCCGGCGACGGGGAGATCGTGGGCGTCAGACTGGAAGTCGAGCTTAAAGATCTCGAGATTGGCCGTGGAGCTGAAGGAGAGATCGACGGCGCCCGCCATGGTGCCGGCGGCGAGGTAGGGCGCGTCGGGCGCGAAGGCGACAAGCGCCGACCGCGAGGCACTCTTGATGCAGGCCATGGGATCGCGAGGGCGGGGGGCCCTAGATCGAGCGCTGATCTCCTACGGGAAGAAAGGAACGGGATAGCAGATCCGACGCGCTTCTTCAATCTCTCGCCTTCGGTTATGGGAGATGGAGGAGAAGAGAGCAGCGGACAAGGGAAGTGAGTCGCGTTTTATTTGGACGGTCACGACGTCATCAAATGCACGGCACGATCTTTGAAGAGTGACGTGGAGCCAGCGTTCCTGAACCGGATCAGGTCCTCCGGTCCGGTTCACCGCCAACCCGTCGACCGGGTTGAGTCCTGTCATCTGTAAGCCCAGGCAACTCGAAGCTACCATGAACGTGTCCATTTTGGGTTCCCTTTGAGTTCGTTGGCTCGATAAAAATACTTGGTCGTTGTCGGAACTATCAAACTAGAACCTTTTCAATGTTATGTAGAGTCATATCACTGACTACTACTAGTTTTTAACATGTTTGTTAATGAGAATATAACTGGTTTGAATCCTCTAAATATTAGAGATGAATCAGAACAAATCGAGTCGGCTTGGATTGTGATAAGGTCAAAGTTGTTGTCAGTTCGATTCGATGAAATTAATTCGACCCAACTTGTTTTTCGAGTAATATGTTGTAGCAATCATACCATTCTATCTAACCATACAATCGCAGAGGATGTACAAATAAGAAAATCTATGACTAAACTTCAGAAATAAGTAGAGGATGTATATTTATTTAAGAAAAAACAACAAATAATAAGGTGTTGTAGCATTTAAGGTGGATAAAAATTTAAATTAACTCAGAAGGAGCACATGGATATTCTATCATTAACTTCTGATTTAAGAAGAGAAATGAGTTTGCTTCTTTGACGGGCACAGATTTTGGGAGCATAGAGTACAAGAAAAGCTGCCAATTTGGGAGCTGTTCCATCTTATTTCTAAGAACAAGATCAAGCTAATATAACTCTAATAACACCAAGCTTCACCTGCGAACAGCAAATGCAAGATGGGTTACATTACTATAGTCATTGGTCGCCGGAGACAAAACTCCAGATGAATGAATGATTCACATGATTTGTGTCAGCTACTGCTCTGCCGTGGTGAGACTATGAGCTTGCTTAAGTTTGTGCTGATACAACAGTACAAGGCAATCCTTTTCATGTTATTTGCTCAACATCTTTCTCCAAAGAAGCAATCCTGGTGGCTGCTTCCATTGTGAAACAATTCCATGATAAAACTGAACTCTTTCTTTGAGTCCTGTGTTCATAACCATCTCTTTGTTACCTTCCCGGATGGACGGGCTCTTGGCGGGCTCCTTGCAGTTTGGAGATTCTTTGAACCTAAGAAGGAATCAATGTCAGACTGAATCTCCATATGAGAGCATATTAAAAGAAACATTGTACTGATCAAGGATTTAAATTTTGGTTCGACAGCAAAAAATATACAGTGTGTGATAGAGTTGTCTTTAGAATTGCATGTGGTAGAGCGAGCATCAACATATGGATCAGATGTGATTGACCTAAGGTCATAAAAGCAGAATAAGAAGAATGAGAAGGATTGTGCAGGCCTGAAGGTAAAGAAGAATGATAACATGTTTTTGTCATCATGATTTGCGGTTGTATTGGGTACATAAATTAAGATGATTGCATGAGAAGTTGCTAAGGTTTACATTTCTGCAAGGTTGAAATTAAAAAGCAACTCAAGAGGATGGTGTTTCTACAGTCTGAACAGCTAGACACGAGAAAAAAAAATCTCTCTCGATGCTGAAGAAACATTTCTGCATAATGTTAAAGTTGAGAAAAACTTTAACAAAGACACTTTTCGCCTTGATCATATGATGTGAACTCATTGTTTGCACCACATGAATTGCCATTTTGCTAGTTATATAAAAGATGGAATTGAAAAAGAAGAAAATAGATTTCTACTCACCTGAATCAACTGATTTTCCACCAAGTGATGATCTCCTTGATGCACTCAAACCTAATGTTTCTAGGTTAGTCAAAGATTGTCTCCTCCTTAACCTGGCATCTGCAGTAACTGGTGACTTTTCGTTGATGTCAGTGTTCCTGACAAATTTTGAAGATACTGTTTCTGTTTGACATTGATTGTTCCTGAAACAAAAAAATTAAAAAAAAATAAAAACACACAAATCATAATATTGATGCTGCATAAAGAGCACTCACTTCCCAATCTACTCATAAAAATAGGTTGATCAGTTATGGTAGAAATGTTATGTGTGATCAGGTTACCTTCTCTCAGAACCATTTATTAGTCTGCCAAGGCTCTGCAAGGATTTTCTTATGTGAGATCCTTTACTGATAGCACCTTTATTGGAATCTCTGGTGTCTAACTTGGTGACTGAATTGATCTTATTTGGTGTGGCCTCATCCAATTTTCTGGTTTGGTTAAGTGAATCTTTGTCAAGTGTACAACTGCTCGCGATCCTTGGCAGCCTACTCTGTGTATATGTATTACAAGTACTTGGGGAAGATTGTTGGAAATACTTGGTACCAGCTACAAAGTTCTCACTGTTCAAGCTTGCGTTGGCTTCGGGACCGATGTTTGAACATAGCTGCAACATAGAAGAAAAAATTCATCAGAGCACTCTGGATAGAATAAATCAAATAGGAAGCCTATAGTTGAAGGCTGCTGCTTACATGTGAAACTGAGCTTTCATGCTCTTTCTGATTACTTTCACAACTCAATCCTTCCGAACTTAATCTCCTGTTACAAGTCAGGGTACCATCTGTAGTGTATTTAAGTCTTGAAATGGGGGACTTCAAGACTTTGCTCTCTGGGTTGGCTGTTGTTCCAGCCTTTGGAACACTGCCATTCTCAATGCTCAGTCTTCGTGGACATAGAGGAGTATGGTCCGTCATTTGTTTTGACCTCTCTGAGACAGGTGTATTCTCTTTTAGCTTATATGGATGCATGAACTTCTCTTCCTTGATCATCAAAGCCTTGTTGAGATTATCTATCTGCAAAAACATCTACTGTTGGATGTCCTCTATATAATGAGAATTTGGCCAGAATAAAAAAAACTTTTATAGAAAAAAAGCAGATAGCTCATATCAATATGATTTGGTTGTGTAAGTCCATCATTACCAGACTGTCAGAGAAATTCTGTAGTGCCCAGAAAACATGAATTAAAAGGAGCAAAGCAAATATCAGAAGAAAGGGCAACTTACGGATAACCATCATATGTCTAACCATGATGTTTCATCATGTCTAACCATCATGTGAGTTCGAGGATCACCACAATGCAAGTTATTCACTTGGTGAACCAAAACATAAGCTAGAATTCTTCTCCAAACAGGTTGAGACTTCTGTGTTTGCAATCCATTCTAATGGTGAAGCATTGACTCTTAAGATGAATTAAAGCAACTCCAATTGCAATATTCAAAATATCTGGGTCAAGTGCAACTATCTCAATCTAGTCCAGATTGTTCAAAGCCTTATGCCTTAGAAGACTGGACAAACTGTTTCTGACTGTTCTTTTATGTCTAAATTCATATACTACTAACATCATGTATGGAGTGAGAACAAGAAAGGCTGCAAAAGTTTAATCATGGATGGTGCGCAACAATCTCTCTTGCTTATACATTAGAGTCCATTTTCTTTTCTTTATTAAAAAAGAAACAAGAAAGTTAGATCATTAGTTCACTGTTATAGATTGGAATGCTTCTTTCTAATATTGATCATTACACATTAATATGGATCACTGTTAGACATTGGCACAATACTTGTTAGCCATACTGAGTATAGTTATAGATTGCTAATTCAAAATATAATTGGGTAAACGACAGGTCATTCAATTATCTTACAATATTAGCAACCCATATCTAGATATTCCAATTTGAAGCCTACTAGGGTAATTGACAGATCTTAAATTATCTTACAAAATACAACCAGATTTTGTGCTTCTGGTAGAAGACAGCTGTAGTGTATCAGAACAATTTAAAACACAGAAGTGGATTTATCAACAAGCTTGGATATTAAAATCACAGTTAACTATTGCATATAAAAGTCAAGGATCATTATCTATGCCACAAGAAAATTTTAGATTAAACTAATGACGTTACACAAAATTTACCTGTTCTTTCAGATTCCGGATTTCACTGCTTTCCTTGTTTTGATGAGGAGCGCCAAGTTCAACAGTGGATGCTCTTTGTGCAAACTTAAGGGTACTAATTGTCTCTCCATGAGAATCAGATTCTGGGCTTACATGAGCAAACATTAACATCTTTGCATTTCCACCTACAACAAAATAGGAAAACAATATTTAGAATTTTAGATGACACTAATTTTTTTTTTAAATGAAAGAAACAGAATATTGGTTCTGTTTATAACCTAATGAGTTCTGTAGCAGTTGTGTAAGCTTGCTATTTCTGTAAGGAATATGTGAATTCTTCTGAGCTAAGGCAGTAATAACATCTCCCAAACAAGAAAGGGACTTGTTGATATGTTGTGCCTCCTTCAGTTGGTCACCTGTGACTTCTGATTTGTCCACTCTCTCACTACCTGCAAGGTCAACTAGATGCAGGCAACTGCGTATTGTGTTGCCAGAAATGTCTTTACCATGCACATGTACTGTCAAGACACTGCATACAAGCATAAAACATCTCCTAAGATCACTGAGTATGAATAGAAATACAACTAGGCATAAAATGAGTATCTAGCATGAGAAAAATTCTATGACAACCTGTGAGAACGGCTGCTTCTATGGTTCATTGCAGTTGAGCTAAAGGCTCGGTTTTTCTCACCCAGTTTCATCAAGTTAAGAACATCAGCAGTAGACTGCACACCCCGAATAATAGCATTTGGAATGCTCAACCCACCATTGCCTGAGCAATTCATGATCTCTAATGTATTACTATGGTTAATCAACAAATCAAAATAACTTATGATATCTAACCAGAATCCAGTTGGAAAGAAAAAAAAATTAGCATAAAAGGATATTTTGTGTTTGCTCCATCTTCTGCAAGAAGATCCCGGACTTGCTCGTTATATATTTCAACCATCTGGACATGGATATCATATTTAATATCCTCTCGAATGCTTGATATCTGAAAGAGATCATTCAGTGCCATGTGATTGATCCCCAATTCCTCACATGATCCGTTTGATGAGCCACACTATTGCACGACACAAACACAAATGAATGGTGACCAATTTCCAGAATTATACATAAAACTT